TTTTTTTTAAAAGAGTGGGGCTGGAGAGATGGCTCAGTGGGTAAGTGCACTTGCTGTTCAAGCGAGTGTGAGGACTTGAGGTTGGATCCTAAGACCCAAGTAAAATGCTGGGCCACCCAAGCACCTGTAACCTATCGGGGGTGGGGGGGGGGTGCTTACAGGATCACCGGGGCTTGCTGGCTGCTAACTTAGCTCCAGGCTCAGTGAGAAACCCTGTCTCAAAGACTAAAGCATTGAATGGTAGAGCAGGCCTGTACACACAAATGGCACACACAGAGACTCAGAGTAAGTGAATTTGAAGTGCAAGATCCTGTTTAATTGAAAAGAATGGCACAGTGGGAAGATCTACAAGAACCTTAGGAAAGCATACTGAAAAGTCCCAAGTTTGACACAGTCTATCACTATGGGAGGCTAACAGCAGCATGAGCGTAATTAATCATTGTTGCAGCACAAGAGCTCACAAGGGAAGAAATCTAAGTACCAAAGCTTTGTAGTGTCCCCACCTGTCTCCCTGTCCCCTCAGCTGAGCTAGCCGAACAGCTCTGTGCCCACAGAAAAAAAATGTCTGGAATGGACTCCCTCTAATTCTTTTTTAAAGATTTGTGTTAGTTTTAATTATTTGTGCGGTATGTGCACGTGACTGCAGGTACCCACTGTGGCCAGAGGTATTAGATCCCATAGAGCTATAGTTTCAGGTAATTGGGAACCACCCAATGTGGGTGCTAACTGGAAACTGAATTTAGATCTTCTGTAAAAGCAGTACACACTCTTAACCACTGAGCCATCTCTCCAGCCCTTGCTTCATCTAATCTGAATGGCATTATCTAAATTATGAGTCAATTGGAGGTAAATATTTTAATTTTCATTTTTCTGGTTTTCAGCATTATTTGAGTTTTGTTACCTTTTATTTCAGCATCATAGATTGGGGCCAAGTTATAGCACTGTTTTCCTCTCAGCCACAAGGGTCAGCTTCCTTTTGGAGGTACCCACCCACCTGTCTCCCTCCTGTGCACCCCAGGTCACCCCATAAACCCTGGCCCCTGCCAATCACAACCCTGAGCCACACCTCCCACTTCTAGTGACTTATTCAAGTGCCCTAAACCTAACCTTCCAGATCTTTCTCAGCCTTCTGAATTCACAAACAATGCTCACACTTTCAAGGAACCTGCCATGTCTAGTCCACATCTGCCCACCCTCCAAGCACTAGGGTGCTTCCTTATCCCAGAAGTTGGAAATAATGTGACTGTCAAGTTGACATATTCTGGTCAGCTTAGCATTCATGCTTTAACAACTGGTTGGATGAGTCCCTGAGGACTCTAATAGTTACAGCATGTGAGTTTAAAATGTAAAGCATGACCTAAACTAATGATCATGAAGGATCATGAGAGGTAGTCACCTAGGCCAGTACCAGTCTAGCCAGCCACTTAGCATCTACATCCCAAGGAGACACCATCACTCTCCAATCAGAAAGCGCCCCAGAAAAGGTGGCTTTGGGGAAAGCCATGTATTAACATAATTCATACTGGAGATTAGAAATTGTATGCCCTCTAGTTCCAAGGGTCTTGTGTACCAGTCTTTAGCTACCTACCAATAGGACCAGCTTTTAGAAAGAAATACTGCCATCTGGAACTGTGGAGGTCATGGACAGTACAAGCACACAATTTTAGGGTTCCCATGTATCTACTTACAAGTATGTGGGGCTGGGGAGACGACTCGGTAGATAAAGCACTTTGCAGAGGACATGAGTTAAGTCAAACTCTGGGTGTGGTGGCATGTACTGTTATTCCCAATGCTGGGATGCAGAGATGTAGATCCTAAGGCTTGTTGGCTAACCTAACCAATTGGTGAGCTCCAGGCTGAGTAAGAAATGTGTCTCAAAAAATGGGAGAGGTACAGAAGGAGACCTGACATCAACCAAACACACACACACACACACACACACACACACACACCAAACACACACACACACACACACACACACACACACACACACACACACACGTAATCATGCCAAAAACAGCAGATCTGTATTTCTAGTCCTGAGACAAAGTTCCTGTCAGCATTCTTTGTGGTTACACAGATATTGTCAATATGACAAATGTCAAGCATTCTTGGATGTCAAGTGTACTTTTTCCTGGCCCTGCTGTTTACACCAATGGCCTGTGTTCAAATTACAACCTCCACAGTGGGTGAATAATAGCACACAATCCCTACATAGAGGGTTGGGTTTGATTTAAATAAAAGTTATTTTACTGTGTTCTCAGGATTCTTTTTTCCTGTCCCATTTCAAAAAAAAGCAAAACAAAAACCATAATCTTACCTCAAAGTACATTCCAGAACTAAATGGGAAGCAGGTAATATTTTTCTCCTCTTCTCCCCAGGCATCCTGAAGAAAGGAATTTCTTACAAATGCTTTCATGTTCAGGCGTGGGTTCAAGTGTAGAGCGATATCCCTGGATTTTCCTGCCACTAGGTCAACGTTGAAGCTGTAAGAGAAAGAAAAAAACTTTAGACTGGAACTACAGTTCTAACTACAAACCAAGCACAGGGGAACATGGCGGAGGGGATTCCAACTCTGAATTTGCATGGCACTGACTCATTTGCAACCTGAGACCAGGATCAGTGCTGAAGCTGAGGTGCAACTGAGCAACAACTGGGGGTTCAGAACAAGTAAACCCCCTAAGTACTTTAGGTTGCAGGACTCGGGGACCCTCAATGCAAGCATTCTCCAATCAATTCCACATATTCCCTTTTTGAAAGCATGGAAATCTACCTAGGAAATAGATCTCATTTCAAAAGCATTCAAGAATATGGACATCTTGGGAAAAGGTAGGTGTGTGTGTGTGTGTGTGTGTGTGTGTGTGTGTGTGATACATGCGGGTGGGTGTACACACAAACCAGAGGTTGACATTGGGTATCTTCCATTACTGCTTTCTCACTCATTTCTACAGATTAATTTTATTATTTTTAATTATGCATGCATGCATAGCTACGTGCATATACATGCAGGTGCCTGTGGAGGCCAGAAGAGGGCACCAGATCTCCTGGAGCAGGAGTTAGTGGAGGTTGTGAGCTGCTTGACATTGGGGCTGGAAACTGAACTCTGCAAAAGCTGCACAACTTGTTAATCACAGCCATCTCTCTAGCCCTTCTACCTTTTTTTTTTTTTGAGACAGGGTGCCCCTGGGATCCCCCTGTCTGCCTCTCACGTGCTGGGATTAGGCTTGCATTACCATTGCCCGACCTAGAGGAGATTCTTAAAGCAGACTGTGGTGCATCAAAGAAGGGAACCCTCATCTGGGTGTGACCTGGGATGATTGTCCTGGCAGAACTGAAGGTATTGTAAAGAGGAACTAGTGTCCCTCATCCACCAGACTGTTGAAATAATGGACCCCAAGAAATGGGGATTTCCCAGGAAGAATCTCATGCTAGAAAAGGAAATAGCACTAATCAGAGTGGGGACTTGTTGCCTGAAAAAATATCTGTAATTTGTAAGACTACCTAATGGGATGAGACTGAAGCCCCAACAATAATGGGCCAGTGGTGGTGGGACCACGCCTTGACTGGGACTGCTGAGATGTACAGATCCTTGGCCCTCTATTTAAACTTTAATTGTACCACAGGACCCTACAAATGCAGGCCAGGGGTCACTGGTCCTCTTTGTTGCTCTTCCCCATGTGGCCACATTGACTAAATTCTTTTTCTACATTGAATAACTCCTTTTTCTACATCGAATAACCCCTTTTCTGCACTGAATAACTCCTTTTTTCTGTATTGAATAACTCATTTTTCTGCACTGAATAACTCCTTTTCTGCTTCCCACTATTAATCTGGCTTTTTTCATTGGTTCCTTGAGGATGGATAGCTGAACTTGGCTTCTTAGGGTATGGACTGTGACCCCAAGTTTGGTACACTGAGGCTATCCTAGAGGAGCCTCGTGAACAAAAATTCCACCTACCTGGCTGAAAGGGGGCCCAGCCAGAAGCTGTCCCTAGTCCTGACTCTGCCAACAGGTCTTTAGTGGGACCTTGCACTGCCATGGTCCCTCCTTTCAGGAAAGCACACCAGCTCTACCAACATGCCCCCAGTCCATAAGACAACAGTGGCGCAGCAATACTGACCCTTTGGCATTTGTATTCACTTCTCCTTTAATGACAACAGTTCGTCCAGGGCCCATGGAGGCGTTTAACCTTGCTTCAAATGGCAGGCTCTGAAAAGGGGCCACAGTCAGAATGAGGCAATCTTCAGGCAAGGACCTTGTGGGAAAATTCCTAACAACATGGTGGGTTAAGAGTCTGTGAACCCCAGGAGGGGACAGACCTTTGTTTTCATTTCAGCTGGGTACCATGCAAAGCTCATCTTGTCTAACAGGACACACTCACACAGTGATTGTTTTCACAGCCTGGGTGACACCTGACTCCTCATGCATGAGACATGGCTGCAGAGCTATCTAAGGTCTAATGGGACCAGCAACCCACATGAGTGGTTCAGACACATGCCTGAGGACATGTCTGTCCAGGGAAAGTTACAATGCCAGGGGCTGCCCTGGGCTTCTGCTGGAAGTGGAGGTAGCAGTTAGACCAGGTTGGCCTTGAACTCACAGAGATCCGCCTGCCTCTGCTTCCCAAGTGCTGGGATTAAAGGCATGCGCCACCACCACCCAGCATTAGAACTTAATTTCTAAACAGAGTTAAATCATTGGCTCTTCAAACCTTAGACAAACAGCTGAGGGGGGTGGATTTTAGTGTGAGTGACAGTTCAGTCTATGCTCTTACACAGTTCTGAGTATGATTTTAGAAGTGTCTCCTCTATTACCAGATTATAGGAAACAGTTCTACAATAATGTGTGGAAAGAATGTAGCTGCCTTCAAGGCTCAGCGGTTCATGTTCTGGGTCGTTTATAAAATGTCCTGCAAGGAATAACCAAGCAAAAAAAAAAAGTACTCACCAAATGTGCCTTGCCAGACTTATATACCTGGTGGGAGAGAAAGAAAAGTGAGCACAACCTACTGGGCAGGCTGACAGGTTTGCAAGGAGCAGCCTGCTGTGGCATCATGTATCAGTGCCTTATCTGCCTTGCTGACACAAGCACTGTGTTTCATGACAGGTGCTGTGCAAAGACTTCTGAAGAGCAACATGGACTGGAAGGAAGTCTGGTGTCCTTCATTGTTGGGGCCAAAAAATATCAATTATGATATTTTGGGGTACAAACCTCAGCTCGATCCCAGGAGCTTCAATCTCCCATTGTCTTTCAGATGCTGGCTGGTTACCACTAGATGCCTGGCCTTGGTGGGGAATGGTTCCTAGTTTGTGTAACAATGGACCAAGGCCTCTGGGTAGATGCATACCCATCATGGGGGCTGATGAAAACGTGCCTGGAAACTAGTAAGCCTAGTAGTATACAAGGAAGCTTGTGTACCAGCCTAGGGACTGGTGAGAGGCTGGTGAGGACGTGCAGTTCTAAGACTACCTCTAGGATTAAAGGAAATATTTAATATCAGCTTGATACATGATAATAGATGTCTTTTCCCCACTGTTGGAAAGCTATTAAGAGGATGCTTGAATAAACCATGGACTCCAGTCTCCAGCATGGACTGAGAGCACTCCTGAGATGACAAGATGTGTCTGTCTCATCCTTAATGCCGTGGGGTAGCTAGGAGTTTCCCGAACCACACTCTCCCACTCAGGGATGGACCCGGAGCTGTTCGGCTGGCTCCAATGGCAGTCCCAAAGATATCAGTCCAGAACAGATGGCCTCTGTAGCATGGGACTGATACAGGCTGGACCCTGGCACTTCATGTGAATACTTTAGCACCCACAAATTAATGGTTGTTCAAAGGTTTACATGTGAACTTCAAACACATTTTACCTATCCTCCCCAAGAGCCCTCCAAATACTGACATTGTTATTCCACCTGTAAGCATGGATGTGCAGAGGTGTAAGGCCTTGCTTTTTCCACAACAGCAGTGTCAATTTTACAACTGCTCCTGTTGCCACAAAGGGGCAGAGTTCATCTGCAGTGCCCTTGGTGTTCAGGATTTACAAATGCTTCGTTCCAATATCTCTTAAGAAGTTAGGGTGACAAAGTGCTTTTCACATGACCACAGAGTGGTAGCCATTTAACTAGCAGGTAACATGTCAACAAAAATACAGTGCCCCCCTCCAAAAAAAAATTACGGTGCCCAAGACCATAAAACAGTATGTTCCTTGGTTCTTAAATGACTGCTTCTGTCCTGACCTCACATTAAAAACTTAATTGGTGAAGCTAGGGAGACAGCTCAGTTGGTATGGTACTTGCTATGCACACATGCAAAAGCCAGGCATGGGAATTGCACACTGGTAATCCCAGTGCTGCAGAGGCAGAGAAAGGAGGGCAAGCTGACCAGCCAGCCTAGCCAATAGGTGAGTCCCAGGCTCAGTGAGAGACCCTGTCTCAAAAAAATAAGGTGGAAGTGTTAGGGAGGTGGTCCAGAGGCTAAGGCACTTGCAGAACAAGCATGAGGACTGGAGTTTAAATCCTCAGCACTCACCCATATAAATGCTGGGCCAGCATGGAGGCCTGCCTGTAATCCTAGCACATGACAGGATCTCTGGAGCAAGCTGGCTACTTAAGACTAGCTGAATTGGCAGGCTCTGGGTTCAACTACGAACTCTGCCTCAGAATGCTGAGAACAATCAAGGAAGACATCTAGCGTCTATTTCTGGCTTTCACACACATGCCAACACATGTGAACATGTATACACATGCATATACTGCACACATATACATGCAAAAAATAATTTTAAAAAAAGATGTAGAGCAATTGATAAAGACTTCCAGAACTGACCTCTGGCCTCCACATACATGTACACACACGTACACATGTACCTACACACACATGAATGAATACAGAAAACTCAATAATTTCAAAAACTAAATAAAGACTTCCTTCCACTGATGGTAACTAAGAACATTTTTAAATTACTGGTTCATGGAGAGGATATTTACATTTTCTCTACTTATCTGTGTCAGGCCCAGGGTAGATGTTTCCATACTCTGTAAATCCTACAAAAAGATCATAGATTAACATCATCAGAATCTTTTTAAAATAGTGAACATAATAAAAAAATCAGTGACACTGAGCATGGAAAAGTACTGAGAATTATGATTTTTAAAAATACAACTGAACACTGGAGATCCCCCCAAAACTGGCAAGTTTGTGAGAACAAGATCTGATGCTAATAGGATCATGAGCACACGAGCAGCTGGGCACATCTGCCGAGGGTGTGAACTGTTCACACTCTTGGGAACGAGCTATCAGTGACCAAGAAACCTAAATTCCAATTCTTAGAAAACTGTCTTACAGAAATATTTATTTGTTCCCGTGGACAGGAAATACACACTAACCAGCTAAAAAGGTATTCACTTTGCAAGCTCACTCTAGATTTGGGGTCCCACAGACAACAAAAGCCTGATTAAGTGAGCAGGACTCAAGTGGTCTGAAATATTTATGTTACTTTTACCTAAATGGAAGATGTAAATGAAAGAAAATTCCTACCATTTGGTCTGACTGAATGTGAAAAACACTGTCCCCCAAAGCCCCCAGGTATGTGTGGCAGGAAGGGCACTTACCGAGCTGAAGCTGAATCCAATGGAGTGGACATTCACTTTGCCGTAGATGCCCAGTGTGTCTATCTTCTCTGGGCTGATCCTGTGGGCATACAGCAGAGTGTGCTTTCCGTTCACAGCCACCTGCACAGACGGAAGACAGTGCCCTCAGAGCACATTAACAGAGCAATTCCTTGTCCAAATACAAATGTCTCCTTACAGGTGGGAGTGGAGCTGTGGTAGAACGTTTGCCCCACCCAGGCTTCATCTCCAGCACCACAGAAAAAGTGAATGAATGAATGAAATGTCGTCTTAGGTTTATTTTCCCACATTGTGGCTGAATGTAAGCAGCCACCACCACACTAACAGAAATTCTGAACTTTTTGAGTCTTGTCTGATTAAGTGAATGGGTCATCTCTCCAGGCGTATACATTTGGAAATATGTGTGCTGTGCGCCACATGGGTCTATCTGTGAGTGTGCCCAGGAGATAGCCATGCTCAGAGCCCCAAGGATCACACACGAGGTCTGAAAGCCTAGGAGGCAGGTTAGCTCTGCCAAATTGCTGCCCCAACCCTCTTTGAGGGCCACATTCTGACAGAGCCCACCTATATGGGAGGCACGAGTACGTGCTGACTTCACTGAGAGCACACAGCAGCTGGGCGTGGTGGCGCAAGCCTTTTATCCCAGCACTGGGGAGGCAGAGGCAGAGGCTGGTGGATCTCTGTGAGTTTGAGGCCACTCTGGTCTACAGAGTGAGTTCTAGGACAGCCAGAGCTGTTACACAGGCAAACCCTGCCTCAAAAACAAACAAAAAGCAACAACATCAACAGCAAAAGCACACAGTGAGCTTTCTGACTTATCTGAGATTTCTTATCTCTAAATTGTAAAAGCCTTACTCAATGGGCTAAAGTTGTGTAGGATGGTGAAGTGCCATCTGTGAGTCCTCAGCACCGTGCCTCCTAATGCCAGGTAGAGTGTCAGAGTCTAGGAGGGAGACATAAACAGCCCACAGTAGGGCCCACAGTACACATACAACAAGCCAGGGGCAACATGGTGGATACAGCTATACTGACCAAGACAGAAGGGGAGAACAGCAAATTGAGGAGTGCATGGGATTCTCGAGAGTAATGTCTCATAGGGACCTAGACCAACATGAGCACACCTCCCGGAGCTGAAGAATCTCTGGTTTACAAGCCCTCTGTGGGTCTGAGGGCTGCACTCACCTCTGGAGCCAAAGTGCAGCCCAAGAAGTCAGTGGCTGTGTTCACAAGACCCCCAGGGCCCTACAGCAGTATCTGGCTGTGACAGTGGACTGCCCTTTCAGGTACACCCTGGCCACCAATAATCTGCTCGTGAAGGTTTTCCTACTCCTTAGGTGGGGGTTTTTAATAATCCACTTCCCTAACAGTAACAGGATGCTGTGTGGATCCAGAACTTAGCCCTCCCAGAAGAAAGAAGACCTAAGAAAGAGTATCTGTTCTGGACCTGTGTGTTTCCATCTGGACAGGGAATGACAAATCTGATGCCTCCAGTAGCCTCAGAGGTGGCCCCAAGCTCGCTCACTAGCACTCTCCCTGTCTCTCTCAGCACCTACTTGGAATTTGTTCTTTAGCACCATGATCACGATCTCAAAGGACTTTTCTTTTCTGAAGGGCATGTCGTAGGTGATCTCCTCCCAGCCCCATTTCTCATTTGTCAGCGTGTTGCAAACAATGCAGTTGGACCTTTTGAAGCGAGGATTAAAGTGGAAGGCCACATCAGCCCTCGGCTTCAGGCTGTTGCCATGCTGCAAGTCCACCTGGAATCTGGGCAATGGCAGAGAAGAACCACATGAGCCTGTAAAGGCGAGCCACAGGGAAAGTACAGGTGCCCCCCATCACCCCTTCCTGCATCCACAGCACCTACAGGGCAGCCTGCCCATCTTCCCTTCCTCCTTCCTCTGGTCTATATGAGGCCAGAATAAGACCTTTCCTTTCCCACTGCCCTGGATCCTGGCCTGTCTGTCAGCACAAGTCTGCTGATGAACAGAAGGCAAGTTCCAGGGAGACTCCTGGCCCAGAGGAGTCTGTTCAGAGTGAGCAGCACCTGATCTCATCCATACCTGCTCCCACGCCCCAACCCCTGCTGCACATATACCTCCAGCCTTTGAAAGCATCAAAGTGAGGGTGCACTTTAGCTAAGGATCACAAGTCACAAGCTGATGGGTAGAACTGACTGCAAAGCTCCAGGGCCTCTGTGAGATCATTTCCACACATTTAAATTAATGATGTCAGCCACTCAGAACTGAACTTAACTCTGGCAGACACGACCTTCGATGGTTACTCTTCCTTGTCTACCTGACTGCATTTCGAGTCACCTAGGAGACACACCCCTTGGTGTGTCTGTGAGAACTTTTTCCAGAGAGGTGTGACTGAGGAGGGAAGACCCACCCTGAACGTGGGCAGCACCACCCATAGACTAGAGTCCCTGACTTGATACAAAAGAAAAAAGGAGACAGTGAGCTGAGAACCAGCCATTCATCTCTCTCCTTCCTGACTAGGGACACAATGTGATCAAGACCCTGCCACCATAGAAGACTTGCTCTTATTCTCCACCAGAATGGACTGGATCCTCAAATCACGAGCAAAAATGAACCTTTCTTCCTTTTGTTGCTTCTCTCAGTAACAAGAAAAGGAACCAACACATCCTGAGTTTATACTCAAAGCAGACACTCAGTAAAGCCACCAAGACTGTCTTGAGAGATACCGTGAGTGTTGACACTTTATCAAGATTTCCTGTTATCAAACAACCTTCACCCCGTTACTCATCCTCCTCACAGCTCAGCAGGGTTGCTAGTGAAACAACAGCAGGCCTCAAGGCATCAAAGTGGCCTCTCCATAGTCACTGGGAGACTTCCACAGGATGCAATGTTCTTACCTGTCCACATCATTAGGAATATGTCCACGGACTACAATCAAAGAGCCAGGCTTCAGCTGTTCAGAAATGGTGCCGACATAGGGGATTGTCTAAGGAACGAAATTTGACAAATATATTTTCATAAATTCAGTTACAAGGCAGTTATAACCCAACTCAGTGACTAATGGAGGCTAATAACAGATGACCTTGAACTTCTGACTCTCCTGCCTCTCTGCCTCCCAAGAACTGACTGCAGGTAGGCACCATGCCCAGCTCACAACCTGTATTTTAAAGGCTGTATAGAGACGATGAGAAAGATACCGTAGTAGATTAAGAACTGAGAGTGAGGCAGAGTGCTGCCCTTGAAATGCTGGTCCCTGACTGGGGCCTACACTTGAGTTTCCAAGAAAACACTTATTGCCCTAAACAACAGGACACCTGTAGTGTTCATCTGGGTGTCTGCAGTACTCCTGTGTGTGAGGCAGACAGTGTCTGTGTGACCAGCACGGGATAAAATCCCCAAGTCTTCAGAATCTCCCCAACAGATAATCCCACGTGGAGGTTCTAAGAGGCCCAGGAGCATGTGCTGACTGTGCCCCTGAGCCTCTCTGTCTGGCAGAGCTGCTCCCTGCCCTTTGGCTGCAACAACTCAACAGCTACGATCATAAACTTGTGCTGGTGACTCGGCACAGTAGGTGTAGCCTTAGAGACCTGGTTCCTGAAGGAGCCATTCCTCAGCTCCAGCTGGGATTAATGGTGGTGAGTGGTTTATGAGTGAGGAGTAGCAGCCAGCCAGACTCATATTTTCTAACTTCTTGGCCAGCTGGATGTCGAGTGCCTTCAGCTCTCAACAAGCCAGGTGTGGCGGCTCAACTTCAGTCTCAGCAGCTAGGAAGCTGAGGCAAAAGACTGATGTAGATGGAGACAGCCTGGGCTACAAAGTGAGATGCCGACTCTCATCTCACAAAACAACAGCAAGAGTGCCAAGAACAACAACCACAGAATCTATGGGAAGATGATGAAGTTCCCACAGGTTCCACGTGACAGCATTTCTGCTGTAAAATGAAGACAATTTCTTCCATATGACTCACTCAATTTGAATGCAGAAGAGTCTGGCTTTTAATTTTTCAGATTCTTTCAGTGAAACTAATGAAAGAAATAGGAAATAGGAACTGGTGGTGTCTTTTGTTTTTCCCAAGAAGTGTTTTAACATGGACAGAGCTTACACCAATCTGGACCAAGAACACATTCACGAAGTCAAAACGAAAAGGTGACAGTTCCTGTCTTCATCACACTAATTACAGAAAAAAAAATTACATGCACATACACTCACAAATACATACATTTACCAAGTACACATATACACTCGTACTCTCTCATACCCATGCACACACACGCTCAAACATGTACACATTTACGCATACACAGAAGCCTAGTCTTGTTTCTTTCCAGTTCACAACCCTGAGATGTTTTTAACTATAACATACATACAGTTACTTTAAATATCTTCACTAGTGTCAAATTTTGTAGACCTTCCTTTTTGAACCCTCTGCCACATAAGGCTATTTCTCCCCAGAACTCTGTTTGGAGTGGTGTTAAACCTTTCTTTCCTTATGACACTATGAAGGTTAAGGAGAAAAATTACAATTACCATGTCTTCAACACAAACATACAACTGACTTGGAACCTTACTTCAGTGACTCTTGCCATTTCAATTGCTCAAGAGTTTCCTTGGGGGGGGTCACCAAAAAACAGTGGCCCTATGTCAGGCCTCTGTTCACACTGCAGTGGTAAGAAGAAATCAGGTATATCTAGAGTCTCACAAACACAGAAAACCAAAGTAGGCTCTTCACAGGTTTCTGGAAGGACCATGATGTAGAGTGTATTTTCCAGCAATTAGCCAGGGACTCTTAGCAGCAGCCTGAACTGGACCATATGCTTCGCATGGGCCTCTCACCACTGGCTCCTGACATTTCCCCTGCTACAGTACCAAGCAGTGTTGAAAAAACAGAGGGGAAGCCTGAACATTAACTTCTTGTGGACAGTTATCATTTCAAAATGAAGACAAAAATCCAGATGTGGCAGAACAGACCAGTCTATAATCCCAGTACTAGGGCTGAGGCAGGAGGATTTCAAGTTTGAGCTCAGATCCAACAGCAATGTCTTATCTCAAAAATAAACAAAAAACCTAACAAATGAACAGTAAAGGGGTGGATATGTGGCTTAGTGGTAAAATACACCCAAATCATGAAGCCATAGATTCTCCCCGATAGATAGATAGATAGATAGATAGACAGACAGACAGACAGACAGACAGACAGACAGACAGACAGATGATATGTAAACAGAGGTGGAGCTTTTCTTTTGTCCCAGCCATCTGGTCCTAATTAACCATACAAAAGCTTATATTAATTACAAAATATTCAGCCTATAATTCAGGCTTATTATTAACTAGCTCTTACAATTTAAATTAACCCATTTCTATTAATCTACATTTTGACACATGGTTTCATGGCTTTACCTCTTCTCTAGCATGTCTTGTTCCTCTAGCGGCTGGCTTGCATCTCTCCCAACTCTGCCCCACTTTCTCCCTGTATCTCTTTTTGGCTTTCCCATCTAGCCTCATTCTGCCTGGCTACATGCCAATTTAGCTTTATTATTAACCAATGAGAGGAATACAAATTCATGACACACGGAAGGATTATTCCACAGCATAGATAGAACAGAAAGAAGGTAGAGATAGAGAGATGGGAAGGAAGGAAGTATCGAGTAAGCCAGTCAGATAGCTCAGCAGGTCACGGTGCCTGCTGCCAGATCTGACTACCTGAGTTCAACTTTGGGACCCAAATGGTAGAATAGGACTTCCCAAAAGTTGTCCCTGGACCTTCCTTTCATGTGTGTGTTGTGACACCAAGGTATATGCATGCACACATACCACATACACAGTAAATAAAGATGTAAAAAGGAAGCAAGAAGGAAAAGCTACGTAGAATAAGAGATTCATTTTCCTTTAAAAGTTATGCTTTTTGCCAGGCGGCGGTGGCGCACTGATAATTTAAAATTATTTCATGTGTAAATACATTACTAAGAATGTAGAAGACAGACAGTAGTGGTGCACGCCTTTAATCCTAGCACTCTGGAGGCAGAGGCAGGCAGATCTCTGTGAGTTCAAGGCCAGCCTGGTCTACAGAGCTAGTTCCAGGACAGCTTCCAAAGCCACAGAGAAACCCTATCCCCCCCAACCCCCAAAAGGTTAAGCTTTTAAAGTCTGAGACATGCCACTCCCAGGGCCCTTAAATTATCTGTCCCACAGTTCTCACCACCTTGTACTGTCATTGTTCCCCCCACACACCTACTTTTCAACCAGTACCCATCACAGTGTCAATCTCCCAAAGAAATGCCATATATGCTAACTGAATTGTGTTCATGTCTGGTCCCCAAAGGATAATTATAACTTGAGTGCATTTTTGGTCAATCTTACTATAGGCAAAAAAAAAAAAAAAAAATGATGTGCTAAAATCTATTACCGGGCTATAGATGATATTTTGCAGGTTGTTTAAGGACAGCATCGTTCTTTTCCAACTTATTATTGATATTGTTGATTGGAGTCTCTCTTCTTTATATAAGGCTTTACCCACGTTTCATTTAGAGAATACTCAAATTGAAAACTTGCCCTGTGTAAAAGCAAAATAGAAAACCAAGCATGCAAAATTTTTCTTCACATCAAACTTTCATACCCAAATTATATTACTTTACCAATAGTTAACAAATAACAGAATGTTAGTATAACCAAAGACCTACCCTACATTTTTTTCTTTTGTTTTTTTGAGACAGGATTTCTCTGTATAGGCTTGGCCATCCTGGAACTCACTCTGTAGATTTAGGCTGGCCTCAAACTCACAGAGATCCTCCAGCCTCTGCCTCCCAAGTGCTGGGATTAAAGGCATGTGCCACTACTGCCTGTCTTCTACATTCTTAGTAATGTATTTATACATGAAATAATTTTAAATTATCAGTGTAGGAAGTATTTTTTAAGAGCATAAGAAAATTACATTGAGTTCAAAGTTATAAAAATAATAAAATTACATTGAAAGACCCCCGCCCTTAGCTTTCTCTTTTAAGTTTTCCCGAATGCAGCTGGCGAATACATCCTCTCCTTCCCCCCCGGACCCTTGATCCCCACAGCTGCCGCCACTCCCCCGCCGCCGCGCAAGGCCGGCCCCGGCCCCCGCCGGACCGCTCCGTCCCAAGGTCTCCGCCCCCAAGGTCAGCCACCTGGGCGCGGAGGGAGGAATCAAGGCTGTTGTACCAGACACCCGACCCTGAGAATATGCTGATCTGGAATGGCTCTGTGCCTCATTTGAACCATCAAATAGAATCCCTGCTCCTAGCTTGCGCCTTTTTCCCTATATAAGGACGCCTTTCCCTTGGGGCGGGCGCGCTTAGCCACACAGAAGCTAAGTCGCCCCAGGTACCTGCGTCTCCAATAAAGCCTCTTGTTTTTTTGCATCCAGTTCGTGGCCTCGCTGATTCCTGGGTGTGTGGGTCTCCCTCTACGAAAGTGCCTCTTCGGGGTCTTTCAACATGAATGGTGGCACATACCTGTAACTCCAGCCACTTGGGAGGCTGAGGCAGAAGGATTACAAATTGGATGCTACCCTAGGCAATTTAGCAAGACCCTGTGTGGCAGTGTGAATAAGAATGGCCCCCATAGGCTCATATATTTAGCACTATTTGAAGGGATTAAGAGGAGTAGCCTTGTCAGAGAAAGTGTATCATAGGGGTGGCTTTGAGGTGTCAGAAGCCTAGGGCAGGTCTGGTGTCTCTCCCTTCCTGCAGCCTGTGGATCTGGAAGTAGAACTTTTGGCTACTTCTCCAGCACCAAGTCTGCCTGCATGCTACATACTTTCAGTCATGATGACAATGGACTTAAACCTCTGAAACTATAAGCAAGCTCCAATTAAATGTTTTCCTTCATAAGTGTCGCCATGGTCATGGTGTCTCTTCATAGCAATACAATAGTGACTAAGACATCCTGTCTCAAAATAATTTTGTTAAGGGCTAAGGGTGTAGTTGAGTAGACAGCTTGACTAGTGTACATTAGGCCCTGGGTTCTATCCCAGTACTGGGAACCAAAAGCAACTAAAATACAAGCTAGGATATCAGCAGTCATTTACATTATACTTAGTATGCCTGGAGCCTTGGGTTCAATCCTCAATGCCAAAAAAGAAAAAAAAAAAAAAAGGTGGGGAAAGGGTTTGGGGGTTGTCAAATATGCTCAAGGTCCTGGGTTCAGTCCCTAATACAAAAACAATGCAAAACCCTAAACTACAACAATGGCAAATAACATGCAAACAGTCCAATGAAACTATGAGAATATTCATTTAACTTTCCCTGTTTGTAGAAAAAGCAAGAATCACATCATAGCACTGCTCTGGGGATTAAACAAGCTTAAATAGTGGAAAACAGCTCAGTATGTGTTAGCTATTAAGATTGCTCTTCTTCAGTTAGCCAAATTAAGTAAGTTGGAGGTGGGTTGGGAAAGTCTAGCCACTCCCCTGAATACTACATACAATGTTCTGCACCAGCCTGGTTTTTAAAGATACCTCCACTACGCCTTTCCCAATAATACATTTTACTCCCTCTAAGACTGATGACTCAAACCAGAACCAAGTCAGAAAACCGAAACTAGAGTTTCCTGCAGTTTACTTCCTACAGTTGTCAGGCTGTATGACTATAGGCACTCCCCAACTGTTAAGTTTTTACTGGGAAAAAGAAAATTGGATCTTTCTTGGTTACACCCTAAAAGACAAACCTAGACCCCTACCTAGTATTTGCCATTAACTATCAATTTATTCAAAACTTCTGAACCTTTAGTTCTGTTCGGTGCAATTCAGGAAGCAGAAACGAGAGCATAAAGGAGACAAGAATTGCCATCACCACATCCGTAATTGATATCTTGCCCAGAGAGAGATCCAGATGGCCTCGGCTGGCATTAAATAACTAGTCCCCGAAGTCTCCAGGCAAGTCTCATCATTCCAGCCAAAAGAAGCAATCGCTTAGATTTAATGATGAGCCCCAAATCCAGAGACCTTGCGTTTTCCCCACGTTCAACCTTGGGGTCGAATGACTCAGCATCCTAAAGTGCGTGTCTAGGATCACAAAGTGTGGCAAGAGCTGTCAATCAACTGTCCCGGGGCCTTTGAGATCCAGGTGACGCTCGCCCTTTCTCCCGCTGGGGATGGAGACCACAGGCGGGGAGGCGCGGAGCGGAAAGGCCTCACTCACGCTGGCAGCGCTGTCCCGACACTCCGGTCGGAAGACAAGCCTCAACCCACGACCACCTCCCGGAGCCCGGAGCCCAGAGCCCAGAGCTCGGAGCCCGAAGCCCGGAGCCTAGAGCGTGAGTCGGGATGGGAACGGCGGGACGGCGCGTCCGCACTCGAACCATCCTTCGGATCCCTATCTGGAGACCGTGACATCCCGATGCCCCTGAGCCCGGTGTCGCCCGAACTCACCCCAGCCCGGTGCTAGGAGGCACTGCGCTCTGCCGTGTGCCCTGCAGGACACCGTCCGCGTTCTCCACGAGACTACAGGCCGAGGGCGGGGTTAGTCCGAGGCCGTTTCCGAGAGCACGACGCCAGGGGCGGGGCGTCCGAGTGCTGGCTGACGGTGGGAGCTGGGAGTCTGAGTTTTGTTCAGGGCTTGGATGTGGCTTACCTATCGTGCTGGGAGCCCCCAGGTTGATTTCTAACCAATTCTACACAAACTGGTCGAGGTGCATTGCCTGTAATCCCAGTACTTTCCAGGTGGAGGCAGGAGGATCATAAATTCAAGGTCATCCTGAGATCTTATTGGGGAACTTAAGGAGTTCTGGGTCACCCTGGACACACATTGTTATCTCAAGGGTGATAAAAATGCGTTCCTTTGCAGCCTTGGGTCAGAGACGAGCAATGCTGCAAGCCAATCGGATTTAACAATCTCTCCATTTTGCCAGTAACTCGCCCTAGGTGTGGAGGAAATCGGTTCAGTATTGCCCCAGCAGGAAGACCCCATCTGTGAGCAGTGAGTGCCTGGACGTGCTAACACTGGGACTCGCCAGTTATTCTGTGCTGGGGTTTGCTGAATGGGACGATTTCTTAGAGAACAGTTTAGACAGTGTGGTGCTCGATTCTGAGCAGAGTAGATGGTAAATAAACAGTTGCACTGTCAGGGGCCGGCACTGCTGACAGTTTGGCCTCCTTTGTACAAACAGAAATACAAATAAAAACAGAGTTCTTGGAGTGGCTGCCTAGTTTTGGTGTGCTGAAGGGTTCAAAGTTATGTTCTCTTCTTGACTTTTGCCCGTGTTTGTTTTGTTTGTTTGTTTTTGTTTGTTTGTTTTGTTTTTATTTTTTCGAGACAGGGTTTCTCTGTGTAGCTTTGGAGCCTATCCTGGCACTCGCTCTGGAGACCAGGCTGGCCTCGAACTCACAGAGGTCCGCATGTCTCTGCCTCCCGAGTGCTGGGATTAAAGGCGTGCGCCCCGTGTTTGTTTTTGAAAGACATGTTAGATATGGCGGTTTATTTTTTTCCCCTCTGGTTGTGCGTTTTATTTTGTTATGAACTTGAATTCATTATAAGCCTTTTAGCAGCAACCTCATGTCTGGTTCGTTTTTACTTTTTCCTCTTGTCCGTTTTGTAAATTTGATTCACTCCTCAAGATTCTACTTGAATAGCTGAATTTAACCCTTGATGTACACTGCCTTAACGTAGTAGTTATTGTTAGGTGTGGTGGGCTTCTAACTATACTTTGAGTTTTAAGTTGAGAAAGGGAATTTGCTGTACATATTCCCAATACCTTGTGAAAATCCTCTAAAGAAATAGGTCCCTAGACCTTGGATTGAATGCTACGTTATTGGTAAGTGAAGAGCAATTTAATATACAGTTTTGCCTGAGCCTACCACTTCTTCACAAGGCTAAAGGAAGTTAAGATCAATACACCTCAATGCTGGATGCATTTCAGGTAGTGGAAATAGCTAGTGCAAAGTCCTGGGGCTCTTGAGAGCCACTGCATGCTCTCAGAACAAAAATCCTCAGCATGCTGAGGCAGGCAGAGAGAGGAAGGTGACATGAGGTCATGGGAATGAGGCCTCCTAGGAGAGCAGATAGGAGAAAACAGCCTTGGCCAGAGCCCTGCGGAGAAAAATCCAGGAAGAGAGAAAGTAAGAGTGGCTCTGGAGACCTGCTGGGAATGACTACAGGAGCATAGGTGTGCTAAATTCTCTGAGGGGTCAAATCACACAAACAGGATCAATGGGTGTCGCAACAGAGGTCCCTGGGAACTGACTTTGAAGTAGTGAGGAAATGAGAGGTTAAGAAATGGTGGGAATAGTAACCTTAAGCATTGAAAATCATTCTGCTGGGAAGAACTGAGAAACAGCACCATAGCAAGGGTAATGGAAGGGTAAAGAATGGTGTTCAATGGGGCTGGAGAGATGCCTCAGAAGTTCAGAATATACATGGTGCTTGCAGAGGACCTGAATTCAGTTCCCAGCACCTACAACTGTAGTTCAAAATCAGTTGCAACTCTAGGTCCAGAGAATGGTACTCTCTTCTGGACTCTGCAGCCAGAGTCGTGTGTGTGTGTGTGTGTGTGTGTGTGTGTGTGTGTGTGTGTCACAATACACACAAATACGATCATACACACAAACCATTTTTTTAAGATTTTCATTTTTGAAGGGTGGGTATTTCTGAGATGCTGTGGTCCTATGTAGCCTAGGCTAGCTTTTAACTCCTCATTCCTTCTGTTTTATTCTCCCAAGTACTAAGATTATGTGTGCATTCAGCTATTTTTTATTTTAAGAGACAATACAATAGTAGTGGCTTTCAGACTTTGTAACCAGCCACATTGAGAATTGTTTCCACTGTGACTTCTTATGTTTCAATGAAAAAAACAAGTTTTCACAAACTCACTCTGGGATTGATCTATCCATTTTTAAAAATGCTATTTGTGTACACACATGGTGCATGGACATATGTGTAGGCAAACATATAAAATAAAAATCCTTTTTAAGGTTAAAAAAAATGCAGCCAGGAAGTGGTGGCACACACCTTTAATCCCAGAACTCAGAAGGCAGAAGCAGGCAGATCCCTGAGTTTGAGACCAGCCTGATCTACAGAGTGAGTTTCAGGACATCCAGGGCTACACAGAGAAACCCTGTCTCAAAAAACAACATACAAAACTCCAAAAGGTTAAAAATGCTATTTATAATCCATTAAAACATTGGCAAGACCTACTAGTAACTAGTGAGTTGTAGCCAGAAGTCCAAGAACACTTAGTGAAGATTAAAGTCTGCTCATCCCAGCTATGAGAGCCAATTTGTACTTTCCCACTTGTGTTGATACCTGGGCCAGGACAAGATTTTTCACTAAGAAAATAAGCAAGTACTCCCTCTTAGGTCTTTTCTCTCTTGAAAGCCAGTGTAAAACATTTACCATCATGTGGCTGACTACCAGATGTCTGCGGAGTCCAGAGCTTAACCTTGAGTGTCGATTCTGCAGAGTCATCCACCTTGTTTTTTTGAGGCAAAGTGTCTCACTGGGACCTGGAGCTTTTGGATTTGGCTAGACTGGCTGGCCTGCATGCCCGAGAGATCCTCCTGTCTCTGCCAGTGCTGGGATTACAAGCACACACCACCACACCTGGCTTTTTATGTGGATATTAAAGTCACACAGGCCCTCATGTGTGACAGGCACTTTACTGAACCCTGTCTCCCTGGCTCAGCATCCTTTTGCTTTGACCAGATGTCTCCCACACCTGTGTAGCATCACTCGGGAGCACTGAACCACTTCTCCCTCCAGCCAGGCCTCTGTTCAGATTCCCAAAGCTTACCTCTTATGTTCTACAGGTTTCATGTCCCACGCCTTAGTGTTTCAGCTGGGAGAAGCAAGCTTCTAGAACTGGTTATATCATAAAATAATAGAATCTTAGTGATGGGAGAGATCTTATGAAAAGTGTAAATTAAAGTGGCACCTCCTGAAGGATGGCACACGGTCCTATTTCTTAAAACATTTCCCCCTTAGTATCTTAAAGGCTACACCATGCTAGTACTATAGAATATTGAAGTATTTGATTTGGGGAAAATGTATCTGAAATTGTATAAATTTAAAGGCCAAACAACAAGATACTATAAAAGAATATAAAGGTTTTTATTCTCTATACAGTAGTATATATGAATGTATATAAAGGGAAACCCAAGATGAGTGTCCACAAGAGCTAGAATGGTACAAAAATGGACTTTTCTGGAGCTTAAAGCTTCTCAGAGTCAGGCTGTTGTTACACATACATTCATTTATTCCTGTTAAGTTATTGAGACTCATTAAAAGGATTCTCTCAGCAACCCAGCCTCAGCACTGAATCAGACCTTCTGGTCAGCCAATCTACTTCTAGCTTGTGTTTATACAGCTCATTATAGTGATGAGACACTAATAGTAAATTCAGTAGTAGACTGAAGCAGATCAGAACTCAATGTGATTTTTCAAACACAACAGTATTTTTATATTTATCTGTGTGTGTGAGCATGCACACACACACACACACACACACACACACACACACACACACACACACACACACACACTGAGTGTGGGTGACCTCTGAGGCCAGAAGAGGGCACCAGATCCCCTGGAGCTGAAATTACAAGTGTTTCCAAGCCCATTAATGCAGATACTGGAAACCAAACTGGTTCTCTGTGAGAGCAAGAAGCATTCTTAACCACTGAGCAATCTCTCCAGATTCCCCTAAGCACTCTTTCTAAAACCTCATAAATTGTTATGTATAGTGTGATGAAGGCCCGTGCTCTCACTGTCCCCCTGTGGCAATGATCACTGTGGCCTGTCTTATTTCAGATAAACCTCATTTACTTCGTGCCCACTACTGGGACACTTCCCAAACAAATCCACAAAAAATTCAAAAGGAGTTTGTACACTGACGGGTTTGAAAAGACTCCATTTTCTTTCTTTTTTTTTTTCAACATAACATTCTTATTGATTATTTGGGAATTTCACATTATGCCCCCATGGGGTAAAAAGGTCAGGGAAAGAACACACTGACCCTGACTTGACCCTAAGCCCAAGACTAGGGCCAAGAAATAGAATCCACCAATCCTAGGCCACCCTGGAATATTCCCCCAGAAAAGAAACCCTAAATAAATCCTGCCTTCTGCTCAGTTCCCTGCTGCTTCCCACCTGACCAGAGGCAGCCACCCTCCTGGTTTTTCCCTTTCAGTAAATCTCTTCTGTGAAGTATGTTGTGCAGTGTGACTTCGTAGCATTCCTTGCCTCCCAATTGCCTGGATACCTTTTCCTTCAGAGCTGTAACACTTAAAAGGCTTCCAACCAGTTCTCCCAGGGTCACCCTCCCACCCTTGTGAACTGCCTCCAGCAAAAAAAAAAAAAAAAAAAAAATGAAAAGAAATGAAAAAAAATACCAAGTCCGATTTGTGTGGCCCATATACTCAATAGAGCATGGTGGTCTTAGCGTTTTTATTGTTGTGAAGAGACACCATGACCACGGCAATCCTTATAAAGAAAACATTTAATTGAGGGGGGCTTGCTTACAGTTTCAGAGGTTTAGTCCATTATCATCATGACAGAGGGTATGGCAGCATGCAGGCAGACACGGTGCTGCAATCAACAGGAAGTCAACTGACTATCACACTGAGTGAAGCATGAGAAAAAGACATCAAAGCCCACCCCAACAGTGACACACTTCCTCCAACAAGACCACACCTCCTAACAGTGCCACCCCCTTTGGGGACCATTTTCTTTCAAACCACCGCAATGCTCAAACTTCTAGTAGCTAGCCCCTAAAGAAAACTGAGTCATTCCCCAACCCTCACCATAAGCCATTAACTGTGGGGAGCTACACTTCCCCACAATTTTTGTGTGTGTTTGTGTGTGTGGGGGGGTTGAGACAGGGTTTCTCTGTAGCTTTGGAACCCAACCTGGAACTCACTCTGTAGACCAGGCTGGCCTCAAACTCACAGAGATCTGCCTGCCTCTGCCTCCCAAGTGCTGGGATTAAAGGCATGTACCACTACTGCCTGGCCCCTCTCACAATTTTTAATAGTTCTCTTCAATGGCTTCCTGTCTAGGCTGTTTATTTTGGGGAGGGGTGTGGAAAGAGGTTGTAATAGAAGACTTCTATGTCTTTTAATGTCAACTTCGAGTCTGCAGTCATCAGTACTGTGCAAAAAAGCTCCCTTGTCCTATGGACTTCTACATGGTTTCTGGTGACAGT